ACATGATTGGTTAATTAAGTTTTTAATTCATCAACTGAGGATATTGCGCCAAATATTATAGATTGAAATTTTAATTGTAATTTGAATATGATAATTGATTAGCTAAATATACAAGATATGAATTATAACTCATTGCATGTTAAAAAAGAAAAAAATTGATTGATGCAATTTGACATAAATATTATAAATATTATCTCATTTTATAATACTATTTATCTACTGTCAAAATATTTTTAGGATTATTTTTTCTTCTCTTCTTCTTCTCTCCATTCTTTTTTATTTTATTTTTCTGTAACAAATAGTTGAATACCTAATTTTATCCTTCTTCTTTTTTGCCAAATATAGTTTATTAGGTCCGAAAATTGTGTTTTCCAATTTTAAATATTTTATGAATGTAGATTTGTGAAATTATAGTTAGTTCTCTACATTTCGTACAAAAATAAAGAAAAACCTGCAAATATTTAACTAAAAAATGTATAGTAGTAAGTAAGGTCGGAACTACTCTCAAGTGAGTTTTCGATATGCACTTAAATTCAAAACATCAATTAAAGGGATGGAAAAAGAAATTTAAAAACAAGTTTTTGGTTCTTGAATAATAAAATAAAACTAAAATAGAAAGGTTGTGATCAAGTAATGAATTTTTTTTCAAGGAAGGTGAATCCATCACCATAGACCAATACAAATAAATTTTATTTTTCATATTTGAATTTTTTTCTAAATAAGCAAATCACTTCACCAGTCCAATTATAATTTGAAAAGATGAAAGAAAATATAGGGTTAAATATCAGTTACTTATATACTAGAGAATTTTTTTTACTTAATCTAATATATCTTTGGTAAATAAAGATAAGCATTATCCAAATTACTATTATTTGGCAAACACAAAAATCCTCCCTTTATACTTTTATCTATAAAACAAATAATAAAAGAATAAAAGAAATATCAAGAGGAAAATTAATATCAAGAAATAAGAGAAATTCATTTACATTTCAGCCTGGCTTCGCCATTCTCTTGAGAATGATGTGTATGCTAAATAATAATCTCTTTTTAAGTCTACTCTATTATTTCCGAACTCTCTCCATATCTATCTCATCTTCCCTTATAAGAGTCTCTATTCATAGAGTTTTCAAAAGGGAAAAAGAAAATAATTTGAAAATAAAAAATAAAAATGCAAGTCGTCAGATGCTTCAGTCTCAAGAAACTCTCCTATGAGTGCAACGCCATGGTTAGAGTGGAGCCTCGATGCTTATGTATCAAATATTTGACGTATTTTCCTTCCGAGCGTTCCTGACCCAGCCCCGATCAACTCCTCAAGTGAAGTGGAAAACTTACTGGGAGAGCTTGAAGGGTCTCTGCTGGGAAAGGAAAGAAAGTCAACTTTCTCGCTTCTGGGGATGCAATCTAAGAGGACGAAATCTCCAAACAAGTCCAGCCTCTAGCCTGCACATGGGTTATTGACGCTCGGATTCCACGCATATGGTGGGAGAAGGTCTTCTCTCCAAATCCGACCCGATCGACTAGAGAACTCATGCTTTGATCAATCATTTTTGTTGCTCGTTTTTGTCACTCTCCATGCTCTTATATTAGCTGCTGGGATCACTAACCGTAGAAGTTCTCCAACATTCACAAAATCCCCAACCCGATCAGCAAGTCCTACTTGGGGGCATACCGAAAGAAGGGCACACGCAACTACAAACCAAAATTGGCCCAAGATCAATTGTGCATAAACTGAACTCGGGTAAATGGACTCTTCAGAAGGAGGGTGCGGTATCGGGATCAAGACTCCAGACACTGTGGTCTCTTGTCATTCTATCCAGAGAGCGATCAACTATTGAAAGTTCTTACTCTTACAACAACAATAAGTCGAGCCTTCTCAGTAGCGGAAGTCTAAGTTCCTCTACCGGGTCAAATCCAAACCGACCCCCGCCCGATTCCCCGGGGCTAGCTCCAAAACAAGCTTAGCTCATTTGGTCAAAACTATGGGCCGGGGAATTTTCTCTAAAGTGTTTTGGGATGAAGAGCTCCCCGATTTCATTCTTAAGTGAGTCGCTCGATCGAAAGGCACAACAGGTTTCTCGCTTGGGAGAAATGATCTCCACTATTACAAGATTCCCTTTTCTGTTCATTTGATTCCGCTTCTGATAAGGGGTTCTTGTCTCCCAATTCTCTTGCTTTAGCGCGCGACTCATTCCATTTAGGGCGATTTCTTAGAAGAAGCTGAGAGACCTTCACTTCAGTATTCCTACAAACTTCTGTGAAAACTTAGAGAGGTAGAGCTTTCATTACTATCCCTTTGTTCGGGCTAAGATCCACGCCTGTAAGGCTCGGGTAAAAATATCATGATCTTAATTTGTTGAATAAATGAAGCCTACTTGAGCTCAAGACCTTTTAAATGGTCGTGTATTGTGTTGTTATAAAGTATTGAACTCAAGACCTTTTATAAAGTTAGCTATGCACTAAATCATTTCTCCTACAATATTTTTAATGCTCTTCTTTAGTTATAAATAAAACTATCGCCCTTTCTACAGCCATAAATTCACACATTTTTACTATTGATGCTTTCTTTCTTCTCATTCTAAAATCATCCCCTATCAAACATAAAAAGTAAGGGCAAAAATATTTAACTAATAAATTTTAAAAATTAATTAAATATTTATTTTTTAATACAAAATAATAAATTTTGTGTACTTATCAATATTCAAAATTTTTCTTAAAAGTATAAATAGAGTTGGATTTCCTCGAATTTTGGTATTAATTAATTTTTAGTAATTAAATTTTTTATTCTATATTTTTATAATATTTTAATTCAACGTGTTCGCAGAGCATCTAATATTTACTTTTTTTCGGATATAAAAAAGAAGCATATTGGTAACAGGCGAGTAAATGAGTAATGATGACAATTAGAATCTATAGGCGATAGTTATGCTATACTAGGATGGAAATGTGAATCAGGATGTCGTTTCGTTGCCATCCCTGAGTAATGATAATAGAGGATCATTCAATAGTTTAATTGATAAAGTGTCTAACTTATTAACCAGTTCTTTTCATTTGTCAAGGAAAAAATAATAATAATAATAATAATAATAATAATAATAATTCAATAATATCACTTGAATTGAAGAGAAGTTTGAAAATCTTTAAAGAAATAACTTATTGGAGATTATTCATTTTTTTATTTTTGCACTTCTTCTTAGCCCGACAAGGGTTTCCTACTTTTGTTATTTTTTTTTGGGATGTATTTTTGTACAATTTCAATGCTACAATAACCGTGGATTTTTATCTTCTATATACTCTCTCTGTCCCAATATACATATCATGTATGGGGAAACTAACTTTTTATAGTAGTGAAATTTTAATAGGTTTTTTTATTATATAGATAAGAGTAAAGTTTTAAATATGTTCTTATTAAAAGGCAAAATAGTATTTCGTAATTGCTACAGTAATTTAATTAAAAGAATGATTTGAGAATGTTATAAAAAATGATACATTTCAAAATTAAATGGGACATGTTATACTATTTCTGTCTTTTTTTAATTATCCATCTTATATATTGTGACTCATAATTATAGTATATGATGTTGACAATTAAAAAAGAACGGAAGAAATATATATGAGATGGACATTTATTTTGAGGCGGGGGAGTATAGTCTATTCATTCCTTCGTGTACCCTTTACTGCTTTATTAGCAAAAGGACTAATTAAAGTCAGGTTATTCATCATCAGCACCTCGAAAATAGTGTACACAAATATCTATATTCTTTTTCCGAAGGAAAATAAATTAGACACGTGAAGATTTCTTGTTTGTGTGGCTTTACGTGGTGGGTTTGCTATTCGTGCCTGAAACTCGTGTTTAATTATTGGACTCTATTCCTCCCCTAATCATTAATCTCTATTTTTGTTCTGAAAAAAATTAAAAAAAGAGATTCATTGTTTAGATTGCAATCAAAATGAAATAATTTATTAACTAAGTAATTGAAATAATATCTTTTACACTAATGAGTAAGAAAATTTTCTCCACCAAACAAAATTACGAGAATTTGACACATCTTATGGTCATTGTACTTATACTTGGTGTGAATAAGTTTTATATTCATTGATGAAGGGATCATTTCTGAATTAATTAAGTAAATAAAATTCATTCAATCCAACATAATATAATATATTATCTAATTTTATAATATATACTACTATTTATGTATATCAAAATGTTTTCAGACTTATTTTTTCTTCTCTTCTTCTCTGTATTCTTTTTTATTTTATTTTTCCTTTAACAAAGAGTTAAACACCTAATTTTATTATCTCTTTTTTCATATTTTATTTGTTTTCTCTAACTTTTTTTAAATCATTATTTGGCTTCCGGTTATAAATCAAATATCTAATTAATAATAAATTAAATATGAATTCATTCATAAATAATTGGTCGAAAATTGGGATCAAATCAAGCTTCATCCGGTCTAAATTCAATCCATTTATGGAGTCTAGTATTTTTGCAAGAAACGGATTAAATTTAAGTAATCATAACTTAAAAGTTCTCAGTACATAAACGCCTTAATCAGGAAAGCCCTTTAGTGAAGAAAGTACACAGAAACCGTAGCTAGCATATCTATTATTGGTAATTTCAAAAGCAGACCAGTCTTGTTATGTTTATGCCCAACATAACTCTCGCTAGTTGAAAAATTAACATGTGCACTTGATATCTACCAAGAAAAGAACTAATAGTCACAAGTTCATTAGCTTTTATGGGAAATATATCCTTACAGACTTGCTGCAGAGTCAGAGATTTAGAGATAGATTTACTGCAGATAGAGAGAGAGAGTAGAAACTCTCTTTCTTTAAGCTATAATGACAGTTACAGGTGACTTGCTATTATGATGACAGTTACAGGTGAGTGTTTTTGGACAAACGCTCAATGTTTTATTTTGGCAGTACTGTTCACTGCTATTCTATTATACAAACAGAATATTTCACACAATAGGGGTGTTTTAGGGCTAGGGCTAGGGTTAGCGTCTTCTTGCAGCTGTCTCTCTCTGTGCATTGAAGAAGACAGCGGCAACGGGGAGGCCGAGGTCGTTGTCGGCGGCGAAGCTTCGAGTGTTGAAGCAATCCCTGGAAGAAGGTGGGCTAACACTCTGCCTGCGTTTCTGCTTGAAGAGAACAAACACAAACCTGTGGATGCCTATATTAGGCTTTGGGATCTCGTAGCTCACCACTTCCCTTCCTGTTTTATGAATTTCAGTAGTAATTATATAAGCAACATAAAAAGAAAATCAGTATACTGTCTCTGTGTGCAATATATATATATATATATATATATATATATATATATATATTATTAGCAATGAACTCACCAAATGTGGCATCTGTTGTGCCTGGAATGTCAGTCACTATCCTGAAAAATGTTGGGATTAAACTGTTAGTTCTCTCTATAACTGTACTCCACTGCATGTTTTGATACATTTATTTTAAAATTTTGTTTATATATATATATAGCCCAATGATTAATAGAATTTTTTTTAACATTTTTTGGTTTTTTCAACTTGGGCTCTCTCTGTGTATCTAAATTTAAGTAGGTCAATTTGAAATCAGGAAAAGTTATATATTAGTAGTCATTCATCTCTACTCTCTCTCTCTCTCTCTCTGTATATTTTCCTTCAAAAAGAATTTGTTCATAATCTTAGAGAATACAATCAACAATGTTTTACTTTGCCATCTAGGTAGGCGTAGCATCAGAGTAAATAGCATCAGTATTCATCTTTACTATATAAACATAGGAGGGCCCCTACCTTTCGGGAAAAAAACATAGGATGGCCCCAATACAATTATTTCTTTCAAATTTATTTAAGTGGCCGGATGCGCGCAGACCAAAGTGTGAGTAAAATTTGTGCTACTTTCGGATTACATATTAGCAGCATGCAACACATATACACTAATGCTGGTAAATACTGCAAATTATATATCTATATTTATATATGCACCTAGCTACTACATGCTTAGAAATTGATCATCTACTGAATTTTTACTACTGCATATATATATATACACTGTATATGGACTGTGGACATCCCTAGCTACCCAATATATCCTAGCTGCTGCTTAAGCGTGAGTGAGTGATATGCAAATAAGTGTCCTTGAGAACTCATACGATTTACTTAAATGACAAAAAAACCCATATTGGCCCAAAGGTGAAAAGCCCCAGCTTTACCGACCCGTGTGGAAGGGCGCTTTGCACAGTACCTCGGTTCCCAAATAAAAAAGGAACTCATAAATACTATTTTCAGCTTCTTGATTCTAGCTTGATTTCATTTTTAATTTGTTAATTTCCTATGGAATGGAATGTTTTTAGGGTATACCAGTGCAGATGTTCCCTTAAATAAGGATCACTAGGCCCAGGAACATCTGGATCTGTCATAACCTGCAGCAAAGAATGAATCAAAATATACAGATTTAGCTTACATGATGAGAACAAAACACAAGCTAGGATTTTTAATTAATATTATATATATATATATTGGACATTGAGCTTCTTTAGCAACATTTGTGAAGTAACATAGGATATATATATATATATATAGAGATGAAATATCCGGAAAAAAAAAAACCATATAGATATATAGAGCTGATCAAAAGAAATGAAAGAGGAAAAATAAAGAAATATTGATTGAGGTGTGGGATAATTAAGTAGTGTACCAGTGTAAAGAAACTTCTCATGTCACCTCCATTAACCTCAACCCTAGGTTTGGCGGTGACTGCAGAAGGATAGTACTCATAGCCATTGCACACTTGCTTGTTGTTGTAAATGACTGACATTTTAATGGTTGGAGTGAAAGGATCAAGGACATCTCCAATCACTCTCCCAACAAGAAGAGGGTCTGCAATTGATCTAGCCATGAGAGAGAGTGTTTGCGTGTGTGTGTGAGAGAGATTTGATATGAAACTCAGGAGCTAGCTAGCTAGTGGTTAGTTTCTTAGTGGACAGAGAGAAGTAGAAGAGTGATGTATGTATATATAGAGTTGTGAAATTAAGAATGGCAGTAACATTAGATATGACCTACCTAGTGGCCCTAAAAACAAAGAGGAATATAAAATTACAATATACTGTATCTAACATCAAGAAAGAGCTTGTTAGCTAGACAATTAGTATTAAATATGAACCTCTCTCTCTCCTATTTCCATGAAGGAGCTAGGAATTAATAGAGATTAGTGCAGGTTTGTTTTTTATGATATCATTTCAGTTTCTTGATCATCTATCTCACTCTCTCTTTTCATGGGGTCCCTTGGAATTGGTTCTCATTGGCTGGACACTTAACTGGTGAGCAGTCATTCTGAACAAAAGCCATGTTTTTTCCTTCACAAAGGTCAGAGAAGGTATTATAAATAATCTTCCATGTGGTCCCAACTAAGCAAGTATAGTCATCATATGCTTTCTTTTAACACAAAAAGTCGTAAAAAGATTAGACATTAATGTTAATTTGGTTAGTTTGAGCAGCTTGAACATACCGAAACTGAAAAAGTGATACCATCATCTTTAGCAATTAAGGTAATGGAAAAAAGGAAGCATTCTTAGAACCTTTCCTTAATTACATATAAACACACAAATTAAAGAAAAAGAATTGATTAGTTTCTGAGATTCTCTGTGCACACTGAACAGGTCTAGGGCATAAAGGAACTCCACCCCCTTATTGCACGGATCGATTGAAATGTGAGTGTGAGTGCTGAGACGTCATTTCAAGTAAAGAGATTCACAGAGGTTCTTAATTTGGCAAAGCAAGGAGTGGGGTTTCTATTAAAAGAAGCCAAAGTACAATTTTTATGTATATCCATATTCCCATACATCCCACTGCCACTCGACTTCATGTGGTCGATTATTCCACTTGCACCCACATAACATGTTTTCATCCTAGCTACCTATTGATCTCCTCTTTTCTTAATTTATATACATAATTTAGTCTTTATATTAATTAATTATATATAGTCCCCAATTTAATATTTTCCAATTATTTTTAATTTTAGGCCTCCCACCGGATGGTTGTAACTCGAGCTAGACAGATTACTTATCTGCGGTACAATCATTCCATGTATGTATGCATATACCAGGCTCAAATCTAAGTCATTAATTTACTCCTAATGTGGTCTCTGTCTCTCTCTCTCTCTATGTGCTCTCTGTCTCTCTCTTTAACTCTTCCTCTCTGTCTCTCTGTATATGTGTGTGTATGTATATATATAGATATATATTATGACTCAATACGACTAAAGCTGCGTTTAATGATGAAGAAGTTGCATTATATGTGTAAAGATCTAAATAGATTCAGCCAACTCCGGTGGCGAATGGTCAAGTTGCAAGTTGCAAATAGAGGTCACACTCCAACAATTCTAAAGAAGGAATCAAATTTAATTATTAATTTTTATGTACGGCTACGCTACGGTCACTAAAAAATTTGAGAAGTGTCGAATGTACGCGGTATTACTCCGGAGAGATTATTTTCGCATATGGGACAACATATATAGCGGGTGAAATCTGATACTCCATAATTAATGATAAGTGTGTAAATTGATTAGCGTGCAAAGAGCAAGACAAGATATATATATATATATATATATATATATATATTTCCGAGAGAGAAAGGAAGAGCAAGACAAGTTGCAAAGGAGAGGAGTAACCTCAACAGGTTGGCTCCAGTGGTACAACCTTAAGACTTCATGCTTAGTGCCTCATGAACTATTACGTCTCATGTTCAAATCTTCAGGTGTGATCATTTTCTTTAAGGCCACGCCTACGGCATAACCGAGCCTTACCAGTTAATCTATATTGTCGTGGGGGTGACTTTCACGAATTCTAGAATTAGTTAGGACAAAGGCTTGAATACCGGTGTTTCAAATAAAAATAAAAAATAAAAGAGGAGAGAAGTGGAGAGCATATTTGAGGGCTTTTTGGTCTTATAAATTTTGTTACAATATATTTTATGTGGAAATGAAATGAGCATTACTTAATTCATTAACACTCACCCTAACCTTTTGAAATAATGGTCATTTTAACTGAACCGACATTTTAAACTTTAATTTATAACATTGGGAAGGCAATGAAGATTCAGAAGACATTCTATGTTTGGTACGTTTGCCATTGTCATCTAAAATGAGATGAAAAAAAAAAAAAAAATTAATGGAATTTAATTCACTTGTCACGCTTAACATCTCAAATAAAAAGCTATCAAATAAATTTTATTTGGCTTACCAAACATAACTTCAAGTTTTGAACCTTGAATCATTATTTTATTTGACATGTCCATTGTATTTCATGTGATTAACACTGTCATCCGTGTAAGCACGATGTAACACGTTAATTCACACAATACCATAAAATAGGTCAGCGTTCAGTTTCTTGTTCGTTTTGATTTCTTCAAAATTCTCTTTTGAGTTATGATCATATACCGTCCAAATTTACATCATGGGCACCTCATCCACGTTCAAGTTCAAATTTGAACTATGAATCATTGTTCTATTCGACATTTACACTTTATGTCATGTGATTAAAACTGTCCTTATTATCACTATGTAACACGTCCATTCACACGATATTATGAAATGGATTAGCATTGGGTTCCTCATTCGTTTTGATTCCTTCAAAATTTATACCACTTGGGATGGCTTACAAAATAAATCAATATATAGTTATCTCTCTGTCTAACTTTGCAAATATTTCTCTCTTGATGCATTACTACTAAAATCAACGGATAAATTCTAGTTTCCAAAACTATCCACCTAAAATATACATATTTACACCAACTTCCGCCAAAGTACTCTTCATTTTTCTAGATTCCTCATCTCTCCACAACACTCTTTACTTCATTATTATTTATAGTAATTCTTTTTATTATTGAAATGAATAATAAAAAATAGTAAAATGAAAACATACAAGTTATAAGAAAAGAAAATTAGTACATGTAAGGTAGAATTTTTTAATGATGAACAAAAAAAAAAAAAAAAAAAAAAGTATTTATTCGATCATATTCATATTTGTATTTTTTTTTTTCAATTTCATTTTTTGCCGAATTTTTATTTAATTTCATAGTTGTGTTTGCATTTTTTTAAGAAATACACACGCATGTACAGTTTTACTTTTTATAGACCGGAAATAAATAAAAGTGTGTACACGTGTATGGAATATATGCAAAGAAAAGGGTTGATAAATTTGTAGGCAAAGGGGGGCAACAAACAAGAGCCCTCCACGATTGCAAACTCCCACTTGAATGCCCATCTCTGGAGACGGAGCTCAGCTCAGCCACGTCTAACTCCTGGATAATGGCAGCACTGCATTAGTCAATTCTTACTTTACCTCTGCTACTAAAAGTTAAACCCTACCTATATAGTCATCTACACTCAATGTTGTAACGACCCAATCCCCTTATCAGAATGCTGCTATGTGCCTGAAATACTAGCATAATTTGGCAGGACAATATGCTTGGGTCATGTCTCCGGTTAATTCTTCGAATACAATTTCAATATTTGTTTAAAATTTAAAAATAAAAAATAAAAATAGACATATTCATTCTTCTTATGATTTAAACCGAATCCCCAACATTTTTTTTTTTTTTTTCCGTTAAAAAGAATCACTTTTTTAAAAATTACTAAAAGATGGAGTAGTGTAGGAAGAAGGCGGCGAGTGAAGAATGAAGAAGTGAATTAAAAAAAACAATATGAAGATTAAAGTTTCACTAAATGATGCAGCAGTGGGCCGAGGCGGGGGCAAACAGGTAGAGAAGGAGAGAAATGAGAGTCACTGCCAAAAAAAATAAAAATAAAAATAATGCCCAGCCACGTATAACTCCTTCGTAATTGCAGCACTGCATTAGTCAATTATTACTGTACTCGGCTACTAAAAGGTTGTTTTTTCGTCTGCTACTAAAAAGTTAAAACCAAAGCTATATGAGTCATCGACACTCAATGTTGTTACGACTTGCGAATCAAAACCTTCATATGAAGTGTGAAGGCAAAGATAATTCAGTTGTACCTTCCATATGTAATCAAGCCATTCTAAAACAACGTTGCAGTTATCAAGAAATTTCATCATTACAAAACCTTATCCGAATCTATATGGAATACTCCCTCAGTCCATAATTGTTCCTTTTTTGTCGTATAATTTGTTAAGAGAATAATTTTTATTATATTAATAATGAATGAATTATTAAATTTACTTTTAGTGGATATGTAGTGATGTATATTTTATAAATTAAATTATTAATGTAACGAACGTTTATGAGTAATCTAAAATTTTGATTCGATAACAAGTCCGAAATATAAAAACGAAAACAAAATAAAGGGGTCACTAGAGATGGCACCATTTCTAGGACAACAAAAGAATCACAAATGGAGTCAACAAGATTCAACTAGAATATGAATGCGGAAGCGATGAACTAAAGAAATCAAACCAATCCCTAAAGCAGAAGTCAAAGTGTAAAATGGTCACAACGACAAATAAGTTTCCATACGATGCATATACATCAATACAATGCAATATGAGGTGTGTGATACCCCTCGATTCTAGAGTCACGGGTGATCAAGTCCGATCACAGATTCGAAGGATACCAAACAATTAAGTATTTAAACAAGTATGAGTACAAATGAAATAAAGAATAAATAATTAAGCTAAAAAGAATTCTAAATAATAATTCTTAAAAATGCTAATTGAATAATCCTCCAATAGAATCCATAAAATCCTCCAATAATATAATAACTTGAAAATCCATCGAGTAGACCCCTAATAAAAATCCCAACTGAAAATAACTGAACTAAAGAAGAAATCCAAAACTAAAACATAGATAGCAGGCCTATGTAGTCGGAAGAATGAGTGACCGTCTCTGCTCAGTACGAACAAACTCTAAGATTGGAACCGTCCGATACCTGAAAAATAATAGTAGGTCGGACCCACG